AATCATTATCAATAAAATCATTCTATAAAATTAATATAGTTAAGAAAATTAGAAATGAAGCTATCTTATATAAATTACAGACAGTACATATATATTATACATTGGTGTTTAAATTATTTTTTTTAAATAAATCAATTTTATCAAGCCTTTTGCCATTGCAAAATTTTTTTATATGAATTTCACAAAATAATTATACTCATTAAAACTAATAAATTCAGGAACTATGAAAATTAATTTCACCACTAAGAAAACTGATTTGGCAGGCTAATTGGTGAAATAATGATTTATTAAGAGATAATTTAAACATCTATATATACTTATGTACCTCTTTATTTTCTGTAGGTACAAAACCATTAGACTTTCGCAGCTTTGTCCCATGTACCTTAGGAGCTCCAACGCTTGATACTCTTTATATTGGCATTTCAGCAAGATGAAATGGGTCTTGCTCTGTAACACCACATTCACTTGGAAAAAAGATATCACTACCTCATGCTGAATAAAATTGAAGGATCTCACCAAATGCAGCATCAATAGAGTTATTATAAATAATAAAATTTTTCTGCTTATTTGGCATTGCACGTTCCTTATTACGAAAATATAGCACAAGATCATGCTTTATAAAATCAAGTGTAATTTTCTTATTTTCGACATCATTAAATAAATGAGCTGCATGAACATGCTTACATACATCACGAAATGAACCATTTCATATGAAATCAAGACAAGTACATTCACTAGTAGAAATATTAACAAGATAATAGTTATCTTGTTGTTCAATTGGATGTTTTGATGCAAGTTTATCTAGCATTGGTTTAAGTAATTGATATAATTTATTATCAATGTAAATATCTCTCATAGTGTATGGTGATCGAAACTTGTTATTTCCTTTTTTCACATAGAAATATGTATCCAATTCTTTAACTACAGGTTTGACTAAGCGAAGTAAAACATAAAGTCATCCTTGGTTTAGTCATCACTTTATATCTATTGGTTGTTTAAATAGTAGAGTTTGGTGCTCTATAATTCATGAATTCCAATATGTTACCTGACCTGCTTCGAATATGAGTTGTGAAGAGGTCTCTTTAATAATATTATCTCACACTAAAGTAATGCTATATAGCCTCTCGATAAAACAGTTAATTGGCTGAGTGCCTATGCATTGATCTTCAATTGACTTATTCATTCTTTTAGTAAGATTATTTGTAGTCATTGGCCTAACATCTGGCACATCATTTAGTGATGGCATTCGACCACTATCGATAAAACAATCTATCCACTCTTCAGACAACCAGTTCGCAACTATATCATTACACAAAAATTCTTTTGTGATCTCAGTAAGTGGCAAAAATTTAATAAAAGTTTTATAAGCCTCACCAAGCTCCAAAGCTTCTTCTTTACTTCTACTTCTACCTACTATTTTAAAAGCAATGGCGATGGGGTATCAGTAACGATTATCAATTTGCAGGTTTTTAAGATGTACACTGAATGTTTGCATTATATTGAACCAGCATAAGATTAAACTATGTAAAATAGGTTGTAGTTCCTGCTTTGTTGGTTGATGTTTATCAATCATTGCAAATGGTTGCCATATTGGTGCACAATTCCGAACTCTTATAAATCCTTTGCCATTTGATAGTTCTTCATAATGATACTCATGTAAACAGTCAAAATTATTGCATGGAACATTTCG